TGTAGCATGGTGTCACACACCCACTCTGTGACAGGTTGGAAAAGCACCACCTCATTTTCCAAGTGCATTATTGTCTACCATGAAAGCAAAAACTCATTTTGAGCCCAGCTAATGGGGACATTTGCTAATGCCGGCAAGCAGATATTCCTTAGTATGTTTAGCTTTTCCTATGCAAGGTTCCCACTGTGAATAGGTGTGTGTGTATCTTTGTTCCTGAAACCAGACTAAATGGAGAAGTTCCAGTTAAGTCAAAGCAAATGGAATCCTTTGCTCATCCCAGTCATTTGGTACGGAAGAGCTGGGAGGAGTGGAAATGGCAGTAACTCCTCACTGAGGAAAAATGCTCTTCTGCCCCAGAGCAGAGAAAGTTCTGCATCTGCCCCCTGTCTGGTACCACTGCCTGTGCTCCCCCTCACTGTTAGGCTTCATTTTTATGGTATCTCAGCACTGCTATGTTGCTCTAACAAATGCTTCTCAGCAAAGAATTTACTTTAAAACTATATAAACTCAGCACACTCCAAGAGAATATTCCCAGTCAGACACCGCTGGTTGTATACAGTTCATCATTTAAGAGTATTCTACTAACAGCGAGGGGTTTTTTGGTGGGGTTTTTTAATTTTTCTCAGCTTCAGCAGCGGGCATGGGATCACAGAATCACAGAATGACAGGGGTTGGAAGGGACTTCAGGAGATCATCCAGTCCAACCCCCCTGCTAAAGCAGGGTCACCTAGAGCAGGTTGCACAGGACATCATCCAGGCGGGCTTTGAATATCTCCAAAGAAGACTCCACAACCCCCCTGGGCGGCCTCTTCCAGTGCTCTGTCACCCTCAAAGGAAAGAAGTTCTTCCCCACATTCAACTGAAACCTCTTCTGCTTCAGTTTGTGCCCATTGCCCCTTGTCCTGTTGCTGGGCACCACTGAGAAGAGTCTGGCTCCGTCCTCGTGACATCAACCCTTAAGATATTTGTAAGTATTTATAAGATTCCCTCTCAGTCTTCTCTTCTTCAGGCTAAACAAGCCCAGCCCCCTCAGCCTCTCCTCACAGGGGAGATGCTGCAGTCCCCTCATCATCTTTGTAGCCCTCCTCTGGACTCTCTCTAGGAGTTCCTCATCCTTCTTGAACTGGGGAGCCCGGAGCTGGATGCAGTACTCCAGGTGGGGCCTCACCAGGGCAGAGTAGAGGGGGAGGATAACCTCCCTCAACCTGCTGGCCACACTTCTCTTAATGCACCCCAGGATACCATTGGCCTTCTTGGCAACAAGGCGCCCAACTCTCCAGCCTGTCCAGGTCCCGCTGAATGGCAGCGCAGCCTTCCGGCGTATCAGCCACCCCTCCCAGTTTTGTGTCATCGGCAAACTTGCTGATGGTACACTATGTGCCCTTGTCCAGGTCATTGATGAGGAAGTTGAACAAGACCGGGCTGAGTACTGAGCCCTGGGATGGCTATGGTAAGGCAGCCACCAGGTTGTGTGGCTCTGTAGGTCGGGGTAGAAATCTCTGCAGGAAAAAGCCTTACATGGCTTTTCTCCTTAAAGGGAGGCAGGGATCAAGAGTGTGACTCTGCTCACATTTCAGGTCCTTCTGTCCTCCTTGGAAAGCATCTCCGTGCACTGTCTCTTCGTCAGGGTAGATTGAAAGATACATGTGCAGCCCTGCATAGTACCTTTTTACAGTGAATCCTTAACTTCAGTAATGCTTCAGTGTAACGTGAGCAATCGGAGCTGTCTTAGGAGGGGCTGTGTGACCTCCCCCTGGCCCAGCTGGTGCGGCCGATGCAGCCTGGCAGCGGTTCATGGCCGTGCAGAGCACCGTGGCTCATGTTCCAAAGCTGATGGTTCAGGTTGAGAGGAACCCCCAGCATCATCACACACCCCTCACCGTGAGCGGTGGGGGACAGGCTGTCCCTCATTACCTCTACATTTTGGCCCAGGAACATAAAGTGATGGAGGAGTCATGAAATTACTGCAAGGCTAACTACCACCGCTGTTCAGTTCAGCTTGAACTCAGGTCCATGCTGTCGTCTGTATTAGCTGGTTCGTTGCATAACATAGTTGTCAGATTCATCCAGCTGGCTTTTTTTGTATAGAATGAGTTCTGTTTGCCTTAAAGTAATATGCAACGTTTTACATCCTTGCCTGTTTTTTCTTCTGGTAAGGCGCTAAACACTGTAAGGTGTAAACCTCCGCAGGTTTGTTATTCTCATCAAGCAAAGTCAGTTTACACCTTTATATTGTTATATTCTGATATGTTTGCTGACTTTTTTTTAAGTCTCATAAAATACCAGTATAACAAAAGTACTGTATCAGGATTTTCTGTCAAGTGAAAAAAAAAAATATTCCTGCGCCCTCCATATCCTGCAAAAGGTCATACGTATCTATATGGATTCTTTATCGAATTATAAAACTAGTCGTCTTAACATGTATTCACTTATGGCCTGAAATAGCATGAGTGGTTTTTTAATGCCACTTTGATTTTAATTAAATTTTTATATGCATACATTTCAGACAAAAAGTGACATTGTTTGAGTCGGTATTTGGCAGATGCTCATAAGCATTCAAACCCATGCTGTTACCTGAAAGAAGCAAATTAGCTGTTGGGCCTTTTAACTCTGCTCCTTGCATTTGCTGAATTGGGTTGCAGACCTCCTACTCGTGCTAAAAC